TTCTTCCCAAAATGCTTCTAGGGAGGCATGAAGGAAACAAATCTTTCTCTACCCCTATTTATTCCCTTAGCATATAGTAGTCAGAGGAGCATTTTGCATAGTTGTAGCAACAGAAGGAGTGGGGGGAAACAAGCATCCCTTCATCAGCTTGGCTGGGGCCAATGGCTACTGAAAACTGAAAATGCTGATGATAATCTGTTTAGGTTAAGGATGAGAACCATTACGGGCTCTCTGGCCAAAGACGAGTATACCCATGTCTGGGCTGTATCACTTCAGACTAAACGACTTCCTTTTTTTTTTTTTTAAAGGCACACCACAAAGTTTATCACCCTTTTTCTGACACAGTTGTTTTCTATGCACACTGATATTTTTGTCTAGAGGAGCACTCAGTCATGTGACCCCCCCCCCAATGCAACCTGAAGTGGTACAGTGTGCACACAAATTTACTACCTCAGTGAGAACAAGGCCTGTGTTATGACTAGTTTGTACAAAGGGGGGGGGGGAGGGGGAATGTAATGCTCCTCGGTGTCTCTGAAAATTCCTGGTTGGGGAAGGTGGATGTAAATGTTAGTGCTAGTCCCAGTAACTTGAAAAGGAAACAGAACTGCAATATACATGAAATTATCAGGAGGATAAAAGGGATTCCCCACGGAGAGAGCTTTTAAAAACAAACAGAACTCTTCAACTGACAAAATAAGCAATGAGAAAAGAAGTCTTCTAAGTTAACAGCTGTATTTGATCATAAGGCCTAAATCTTAATCACCATGCTAATCTTGACCAAGTAAATGTGCATTACTTGTATGCCAATTACATAGAATCATAGAATCATAGAGTTGGAAGAGACCACAAGGGCCATCGAGTCCAACCCCCTGCCAAGCAGGAAACGCCATCAGAGCACTCCTGACATATGGTTGTCAAGCCTCTGCTTAAAGACCTCCAAAGAAGGAGACTCCACCACACTCCTTGGCAGCCAATTCCACTGTCGAACAGCTCTTACTGTCAGGAAGTTCTTCCTAATGTTTAGGGGGAATCTTCTTTCTTGTAGTTTGGATCCATTGCTCCGTGTCCGCTTCTCTGGAGCAGCAGAAAACAGCCTTTCTCCCTCCTCTATGTGACATCCTTTTATATATTTGAACATGGCTATCATATCACCCCTTAACCTCCTCTTCTCCAGGCTAAACATGCCCAGCTCCCTTAGCCGTTCCTCATAAGGCATCGTTTCCAGGCCTTTGACCATTTTGGTTGCCCTCCTCTGGAAACGTTCCAGTTTGTCAGTGTCCTTCTTGAATTGTGGTGCCCAGAACTGGACACAGTACTCCAGGTGAGGTCTGACCAGAGCAGAATACAGTGGCACTATTACTTCCCTTGATCTAGATGCTATACTCCTATTGATGAGGCCCAGAATTGCATTGGCTTTTTTAGCTGCCGCGTCACACTGTTGGCTCATGTCAAGTTTGTGGTCAACCAAGACTCCTAGATCCTTTTCACATGTACTGCTCTCAAGCCAGGTGTCCCCCATCTTGTATTTGTGCCTCTCATTTTTTTTGCCCAAGTGCAATACTTTACATTTCTCCCTGTTAAAGTTCATCTTGTTTGTTTTGGCCCAGTTCTCTAATCTGTCAAGGTCGTTTTGAAGTGTGATCCTGTCCTCTGGGGTGTTAGCCACCCCTCCCAGTTTGGTGTCATCTGCAAATTTGATCAGGATGCCCTTGAGTCCATCATCCAAGTTGTTGATAAAGATGTTGAATAAGACCGGGCCCAAGACAGAACCCTGTGGCACCCCACTAGTCACTCTTCTCCAGGATGAAGAGGAACCATTGATGAGCACCCTTTGGGTTCGGTCAGTCAGCCAGTTACAAATCCACTGAGTGGTAGCATAGTCAAGACCGCATTTTACCAGCTTCTTTACAAGAATATCATGGGGCACCTTGTCAAATGCCTTGCTGAAATCAAGGTAGGCTACATCCACTGCATTCCCTTCATCTACCAGGCTTGTAATTCTGTCAAAAAACGAGATCAGGTTAGTCTGACATGACTTATTTTTCAGAAATCCATGCTGACTATTGGTGATCACAGCATTCCTTTCTAGGTGCTCACAGACTGTTTGCTTAATGATCTGCTCCAGAATCTTCCCTGGTATTGATGTCAGACTGACTGGGCGATAATTATTTGGGTCCTCTCTTTTCCCCTTTTTGAAAATAGGTACAACATTTGCCCTCCTCCAGTCTGCCGGGACTTCGCCTGTTCTCCAGGAATTCTCAAAGATGACTGCCAGTGGTTCTGAAATCACATCTGCCAGTTCTTTTAATACTCTTGGATGCAGTTCATCTGGCCCTGGAGACTTGAATACATCTAGACTAGCCAAGTATTCTTGTACTATCTCCTTAGTTATTCTGGGCTGTGTTTCCTCTGCTGAATCATTTGCTCCAAATTCTTCAGGTCGGGCATTGTTTTCTTTATCGGAGAAGACTGAGGCAAAGAAGGCATTGAGGAGTTCAGCCCTTTCTGTGTCCCCTGTTTGCATTTCACCATCTTCTCCTCTGAGTGACCCCACTGTTTCTTTGTTCTTCCTTTTGCTACGGACATACCCATAAAAGCCTTTTTTGTTGCTTTTAACCTCTCTAGCAAGCCTGAGTTCATTCTGTGCTTTAGCTTTTCTGACTTTGTGTCTACACGTGCTGGCTATTTGTTTGAATTCCTCTTTGGTGGTTTCCCCCCTTTTCCATTTTTTGTACACATCCTTTTTTAATCTTAACTCAGTTAAAAGTTCTTTAGATAGCCACCCTGGCTTCTTTAGGCACCTTCCATGTTTCCGTCTCATTGGTATTGCCTGAAGTTGTGCTTTTACTATCTCCCTCTTAACAAACTCCCAGCCATCATGCGAAACATCACTCTGACATGTATGGCTATACTAACTAAAAGTCAAATCTGAAGTGGCCTTTAGTGTAGATATAAGGGGAAAGGGGAAATGCACACAAACAAACAAGGGACTCCTTCAGGTAGACCTTCCGGAACTGTTTTTGACCAAAAGACAGGCTTCCCCATTGACTGCTCAATATGGCCCAGTGGCAAGAGAAACCACCAGTGAGAGCACATGAATTTATCATAGTTTCCAACATACTTCCTTTTATAGCATCTCAATACATTTCAGGAAAAAATGAAATTCCAGCAAGATTAATGTAAACTAGGCCTTAAAATGAAGAGACAAAAATTCCACCGTCTATTTTTAAGAGAGGCAAATGTGCACATGGATTCCATCTAACAAAATAATTATGTGCTAGGTGTAAGAAGTATTTCCTAACAATATACTTGGCACTAGCTGGTGGCTCAAATGAAGCACATGCTAGATGTTATGGTCACATCCACACCAGTAAGGATTCAGAGAAGAAATGAGTCAAAATCATGTACGAGGATGGCATAAAGTGGATTGTAATGGGCCATGGGAGCAGTTTTCTGACACACAATAGAACAACCACTAACAGGAGCAAAACTCCAGAGGGTTGGGAGAAGATGGAGACAGGACAAGCTGCAAAAAGATCCATGATGAATAAATATGCTTAGGATCGAAAGAAAGAAAGCATGTCAAAGCATGACACATCAAGATGTTCCGTGGTTGCTCCTTCCTTTGAGGTTTTAATCTCCTGCTATAGAGCAGCTATATAAAAGCATTAAAAGTAAATAAAGAGAATGCATATTTGACAACTGCCAGTTCAGGAAACTCCTTTCCCCAAAGGGACTCTTATGCTCCCTTCCCAACACTATGATGATATATGGCTGCCTACCCTCACGATACCATGAGATGGCAGTGTGGGATTATACTAAATTCCCACTCTGTAGCACAACTGAGGTTAAGTGTGGAAGGAACAAAGGAGTACCGGTAATTTCCAAAATGAAACAAAGAGTGGGATTGCGTTGGAGTGAATATTCTTATTATGGAGAATGTGTTTCTATCTCTAGTGATAACAGGCCCAGGCCTTTTGTAAACGCCAGAGCCACATCAGGAAAACAACATGAAATATGCAGAATCACAACATGAGAAATGGGAAGCAGCAGGGAATATTGAAATCCTTGTGGATAAGAATAAAACAGGAAATACAAACATGGGGAATATATAAAGATGACATGCAATGCACATCATATGTTGCCCAAATGGAAAAAAAGTTTGAAGTAGCTTTAATTACAAAATGAACTGTAATGATACCGGTCAAAGTCAGTAGCATAACTGATGAAGAATAGCAAGGGTGTATTTTCTATTCATATCAATGGCTTTTATGCAAGTCCTGATAGTATGACGGAGCGTTGTGCCCTAACTCTATTAGTTGGGCTGTGGCCAAGATGTGTAGCCGACGCCAAGGCTCTTCTTCTCATACTCCTGGTTCACCTGAAGTGATACGTACAGAGATGAGGCAGCAACGTCCATCTGGGACCAGCTGCCTAAACTGTCTCTAAGTGCTCATTCCACCCAGTCATAAACATTTATGTAACATGATTTAAGAACCAGTGGGTGAATTTGCTTATTGTCTCTCCAGCCTTTTTTTCTTCTCATGTTGTGTCTGTTAGATAGCATGCCACTATTTAAAACTGTACACTTCGCTGAATGCATTAGCAGAAAGACAGCATACAAGTACGGCAAGTAAATAAAAATATACCTGATGGAACACACCTAGGACAGAGATGCTTTGGGCTGCAATACTATACACTTACTTGGGAGTAAAATCCCAGTAAACTGCAAAGTTAGACATGGATATGATTTGTGACTTTTGCAACACTTCCCTGACAAACCATTTGGTCAAAATAAATAATGCAAAATGTTTCGCAGTGTATTAACAGCCCTTTCCAAATTTACGCCAATATCAGTTACAGTGGCAACAGAAAACACTGGCTTTTATTGAGGCTGAAGTAATGGGTATTGCATACTGAATGGAGAACTCCCTAAACGTTATTGTGTTTTCATGGAAACGGTATTTGAGTGACCTCTTTGACTGCCTTCTCCTTTCTAGATATTACAGTTTACCCTGGCTGAGATGATAAATCCTAGTGTGGTGAGGAATATCAGCTGAAATACCCTTCAGGCATTACCGGGCAATGCAATCTTCTGCTTGCTTGTCGTTCTGCAGCTTGTGGAATACCACAGCAGCCACTGCCAGAGGTCCGGCATCCCCACACAAGAAGGTGATGGATCGCTTTGTCAGGCAGCTCAGGCTCTTCTTGACATATTCCTGGGCCATCTGGAGGAAGGATGGGTCTCCATAGACATTATACAGATGTAAGTATAGCAAAGCAATGCCTGCAAAGAGATTAAAGAAGTTAAGCCAAGTTAACTCTGATGTTGTGTAACATTTTAATATCTATTTCAGCAATTATGCGCTGGTGCAGATCAGAAATGCAGCAATTGTTGACACCCACGTGGGCATGCTGACAATTGCAGATTTATCCAGAGAGTGTCTGGAAATACAGAAATGCATTTAGGTGAATGTGAGCATTGTCCAGTGAGACTGTAAACATTTGCTGTCATGTCTTTCAAAAAAACAAAATAAAAATGGAGAAATAGATATGCATTTTGTGGTAATTCCCTGGTGTAATGCCTACAGCTGTTTCATTTCTGACATTCCTTGTGCATGTAGTTTTTGTGGAAACTGACAATTGCTGAGGTTCTCAGAACATTACTTTAGACACAACCACTTTTCTACTTTGAACTGGAACCTCCTGCACCATCACCACACACAGTTTTGAAGCTTCCCATCAGTTTCAAACTTCAGCTTCATCAAGTCACATTTCTAGCTCTAGTTCTGCACTGTAGGACAAGAAACCACCATCAAAAGACTAGCTCATAAGACTGTGGCAAGGATAAGGAGGCGCAGGACTGTAAAAAGAGCTGGTTTGGTAAAGTGGACAAAGACTGAGCTGAATCAGGAAGCCTACAGTTCAAGTATTACTTCTTCCAGGAACTCACCATGGCCTGGTTCACACATAATGCTAAACTATAGTTCATTATACCATGGCTCAGCGTTATGTATGAACTCTGCCTAGTTGCTTAATTGTGGTTTGCCTATTGCAAGCAAATCTCGATCTGAAGCTGAGGTTTGTTGTTGGCTTACTAAACTGGGCTTGTTTTAACGATGTCGGCATCACACATGAACACATCCAATGTACAGGACTGTTGTAAGGATTACAGTAAGATTAACATACTGGAAGGCCTTTGAATACCTTTAGAATGCTTCATAAGCACTTAGTTTTCCTATTAGGCACAAAGCAATTATGAAAGTGCTATATACATTATAAATGGAAATAGTTAACAAGGCAGTATTTCTGAGGGTGTCCAGGCAACAATCCTCTTTTGACAGCAGTCATACTGGAGAAGGAGGAGCTGCTAAGGCCCCAAACAAGCTAAGCTCCTTTAGTTATTTAAATAGTAATGTAGAAATCTAAAAACAAATTGAAGCAGTGCTTGGACCAGTGTGGTTTAATCATGAGCTGAACATACAGTGAACCACCCTCATTGAATCCAGTAAGAGCCAGCGGCTTGCATCAACTCCAGAATTCTCATTTTATCCCTAGCAGCGTGCTTTCCATCTCATTAACCATTTTTAAGATGACACAGGTCTCTGTATTTAAGCCTAAATTAATAGAGCCAATGTCTTCAGATTTCAGTGCAGAAAAGAAAAAGGAAAAAGAAGAACAGCCTTCAAAATTACCTTTCAATATACACGGGATCGTTTTAAATTTAGATCATTTTCTCATTTTGCATGGGTAATCTCCAAAGCTTCACACCACAGACAATTCAATTCAGCATGTATATTAAGGGAAAATTTCCATTTCTTGCTAAAGTTAATAACCTTGTCCGCTCTGTAGGCAGTTTCAGTGTTAGTCTTTCCAATGAGGGCAGCTCAGATGTATGCTACTATCAGTCATGTCTGCAAAGGTGTGCACCTGAAGCTGTTTTTAAGAAGGGAAAACCTTATGCTGGCAGGCAGCCAGCCACCTTTCTAGAGTTTGGTAAAGCAAAACACTGCAGCACCCGAGTCCTTGACAGACAGAAGGTCCACCTACAGCTGAGTAGTTGCTTGCCCTGGCAGCACAAAATTGGCACTGAGGAAAGTATCTCAACAGTCAGTACTTTTTTCTTGCGCCTAAAGGAAGACATGGCGATAATGTCATTGCAATTGCTCATCTTTTAAAGACTGAAGCGTTGGAGCTGCCCCTCCGGACTCTTAAAAATTTTCTTTGCTAATAATGCTCTGCTGATTTTTATATCAGTTAGTGAGGCTTGAGGATGTGGACAAGGTGCTTGGATCAGTCAGGTCAACCACTTGTGTTTTGGATGCTTGCTCTTCTCGGCTGACAAAAGCTAACAGGGAGGGAACAGCTGGCTGAGCCAGGGAGGCAATTAATGCCTGTCTATGAGAGGGGATGGTCTCTGGCGGCTTGAAGGAGGCAGTGATAAAACAACTCCTCAAGAAACCCTCCCTGGATTCAAAAAATCCAAGTAACTACCAGCCAGTTGCTAGTCTTCCCTTCTTGGGCAAGCTTCTTGAGCAGGTGGTTATGGACCAGATCCAGGTACCCTTGGAGGAAACTGATTTTCAAGATCCATTTCAATTGGGGTTTAGGACCACTTTTAGCATAGAAACTGCTTTGGTTGCCCTGCATAATGACCTCTATCAGGAGAGAGACAGGGGAAATGTGTCCCTTTAATTCTCCTTGGCCTCTCAGCTGCTTTCGATACCTTCAACCATGGTATCCTTCAGGAGCAGCTGTCCAAGTGGGAGGTGGATGGCTCTGCTCTGTGGTGGTTCCAGTCCTACTTGTGTGGGCGTTCCCAGAGGGTGATGCTTGGGGAGTGCTCTTCGGCCCCAAGGAACCTGCAAGGTGGGTTTCTCAGGGTTCAATTTTATCCCCTGTGCTGTTTAACGCCGACATGAAACTGCTGAGTGGGGTCATCTGGAGTTTTGGAGTACGGTGCCCGTAATATGCTGAGGGCAGCAGCTGAAGAAGGAACAAAAAGGGTTTTCCTGTGTGAGTTTCTTGTGGCTGTTTAGCTGCTCTCTCTGGGCAAAGGTCAGTTTGATCCATATTTTAGATTTAGGGGAGCTAGTCTCAAACATTTGTTGGGGGAGACCTAGGTTTTTTGGGAGGGATTTATTTGTCCTGTCTCCACACTTTTTATGATAGAGGACCACTGTAGTCACCCCCAACGACACGTTCCCAAGATGGAGGGTGAGGGAACAGCTGCAGTCGCCTGTGGTTCCTGCGCAATGTTTGCCATCTTGCCAAAGGTTGCAGGCAGCTTTACCTGCAGCAATTGCATGTTGATTGCCCTCTTAAAAGACAAAGTCCAGCAACTGGAGGAACGTGTAGCTACGCTCCAAAGAATTAGAGAGCTGGAACTCTTCTTGGAAGCAACAGAGCACACCGTCTCCACCAAGGAAGAGACAGGGGACTCCCCTGAGAAGGTGGCTAGTTCACCAACACAGGAGCCAGATATATGGAGAAACGTGACTCAAAGAAGTAGGAGGCCCAGGGTTCGCTCTGATTGTTTAGAAATACGCAATCGCTTTGAGGTCCTTTCCCCTAGCATGGAAGACGAAGAGCAGACTCCATTTGAGGATCTCTCCCTCATTACAGTCGATCAGGTATATGAAGACGAGGAGCAAAGGCAGTCCTCTGGGAATGTCCAGGCGACCTTGGAACTGACAGCTCACAGAAGAACCCCGACCAGACCTAAGAGGAGGCGTGTAGTGGTGATAGGGGATTCCCTACTGAGGGGAACAGAAGCAGTGATCTGTGGGCCTGACAAGATGTCTCGGGAAGTGTGCTGTCTCCCCGGGGCTAAGATCCAAGATGTAACTGAACGACTGCAAGGAATCATAAAACCCACTGACAAATACCCCTTCCTCTTGGTTCATGTGGGAACCAATGACACTGCAAGCAATAGCCTCCAGAAGATCAAAAGAGATTACGAGGCTCTGGGCAGGAAATTGAAGCAATTAAATGCACAAATTGTCATCTCATCTGTCCTCCCAGTTGAACGACGTGGCCCAGGGAGAGAGGGAAAAATAGTGGAAGTGAACAACTGGCTTCGCAAATGGTGCAAACAGGAACGGTTTGGATTCTTAGATCACGGAATGCAGTTTCTTGAAGATGGACTTCTGGCAAGCGATGGGCTGCACCTCACAACGGTTGGGAGGAATGTTTTTGCAAAAAATCTCAGAAACCTCATCAGGAGGGCTTTAAACTGACTAATGTGGGGGAGGGAGACAGTGCTCCTGAAGGTAGGAGTCTATCAATTGATGAAGATGATCATCCAAATGTCATAGACCGAATGGAGCAAAGAGCATGCAGACCTAGTGGTGGGAGGAGAAAATCCTTAAATAAGAGACACGGGGGAATGATTAATGGACTTCAATGTCTGTACACTAATGCGCAAAGCATGGGAAATAAACAAGATGAGCTTGAGCTCTTGGTACAGCAAACTAAATATGACATAATAGGCATCACTGAAACCTGGTGGGATAAGTCCCATGATTGGAATGTAATAATGGAGGGATACAATCTATTTAAGAGAAACAGACCAGACAAGAAAGGGGGAGGAGTGGCGTTATATGTCAGGGATGTGTATACCTGTGAAGAGATCCAAGATTTAGAACCTCAAAGCCAAAGTGAGAGCATTTGGGTCAAAATTAAGGGAGAGAAGAATAACAGAGACCTCATTGTGGGAGTTTACTATAGATCCCCAAGCCAAACGGAGGACATAGATGATGCCTTCCTGGAACAGATGGCCAAGCATGCAAAAGGAAGGGAGATAGTAGTAATGGGGGACTTCAATTATTCTTGGCTAGTTTACTTGGCTAGTTTACTATTTAATTATTCTTGGCTAGTTTAATACTTGGCTAGTTTAGATGTATTCAAGTCTCCAGGGCCAGATGAACTGCATCCAAGAGTATTAAAAGAACTGGCAGATGTGATCTCAGAACCACTGGCAGTCATCATTGAGACTTCCTGGAGAACAGGCGAAGTCCCGGCAGATTGGAGGAGGGCAAATGTTGTCCCTATTTTCAAAAAGGGGAAAAGAGAGGACCCAAATAATTACCGCCCAG